TATTGATTCTCTAGTTTCGGTGCAAATGACAACCTATAAGTAGCAATGAGGTGGCTCAAGAAGGTCATGGATGCCTCCTGTAGAGGTGGTGAAGGGAATTTAAAGGTGCCACTATGAATAATGATGAAAGATGATCTAGACAGTCCCTCTCATGGAATAAAAAAGAGACTAAGTGACTCGGAGTTGGTAGATAACTAAAAGTGTTCGGGATAATCTCTCTCCTAAAAGAAGAAATTGAATAGCTCAAAGATGGTAGGCAATATAGGCCATCAAGATAGCCCTCTCCTTAAAGAAGAGGTGGATTAAAAGATCAAGAGTTGGCAAGTAACAAGATATGATAAAGACAATCCTTTTCTTGAATAAGAGGTCAACTAAACTATCAGGAGTTGATAGCCAATCATAGGAAATCAAGATAAATCTTTTTCTTAATAAAGGGTGGTGGACTAAATAACCAGGAGAGGACGAACAATTAAAGCTAGAACAACCCTTCTTCTGGAACTAGGGGGAGGGTTGTACAATTGAAATGAACGAGCTGAGGTGATCAAGACAATGATCCCCCTAGATAGAGGGGGATAGATTAAATAACTAAAATTGAGATTAGCTATGGGTGGTCGAGACGACCATTTTTTTAGACAAAAGGGGAATAGATTAACAGACTAGAAGTCGGTAGTCTAAAGAGATTTCAGAAACGCCAGCATTATAGACTTAAGGAGATGGGGACAAACTCTCACAAATAAGGTGTGAAGGGGTATGGTACTATACAATGGATGTTGATGGCACATACAAAATCTTTAAACTATCAAAAGAAGGAAATTTAGGAGCTATAGAACGATCAATCGGTGGATTGAGAAGCAATCAAAATTATAAAACTCTTAACAAATTGGACATTCCACATTTGAAATATGAGAACCAAGGCATATATAGATTTTGATGGGGTTACACTAATCCTTATAGTAATGTACCCAAGATCGAGCCCGTTCGTAATAACAAAATGGCAGGGTGATCCCACCACCCTAAATAAATCCCAACAACTCGACAAGGCTAGGGTTGGGTTAGGCAACCAACAAGAGGTGGGTGACCACTACCAATGAAGTCTATGATCAACGAACTTCATATAACATTTAGAATTTCTCAGCATCACAAAACCATTATAGATTGCGGGTCAAATTTTTTGACAGTTAGATTGATGAGAATAATTGCAAAAAAGATTTAGAAGTCAATTTTAAGGCTAAACAAAATGGTTATGCGAAGCCACTATCTTTATATTAAAATATGTCTCATCACGAGGAATTGAACATCCCAAAGAGCTTGCCTATAGAGCTATAAGAAATCTAGGGTCTTTTATTTAGGGGTTGTTCGGTATGCAGAATTAGGAGGGTAAAGTAATTTATTTACACACATTTCATAAATTACGTCGTTTGGATGGTTTTGAGCGAAAAAGTAAGGAATTCCTTCGAAGGATCAGCGGTGTATTACAGAGGTCATTTCATGCGACTTGGAAACCTGCTAAAATTGAGCGTGTTAGAAATCCTTTCGCGTGAAATATTTGATGGAGTCAAGCGAGGAGGAAGCCATCTCGAAGTCTCGGTCGGCAAACATCATTTGATGGAATCGGCACTCTGTGTTAGTGACAACCATGGAGGTAATGTTGGTCTGACCTTGGAGGATGTTACGGAGACGTGACTGAATGTTGGAGATTCTGTGTGGCTCGTCATCGATTGACTCGCCGGATTCATTGTTGGAAACAAAAAGGACGGCTGCCATCCTGCCATTGTGCGTCCAAACACGGGCATCTAAAACCCCGCACAAAAGATCAGAAAGCACTACGAAGATCTCCGAGAGAAGTCTTGGGCAATCGACACCAATGAGTTCCAGAGCGGTGAGATTCTCCTGGCCAACAGATTTGTTCGGTCTTCTGGCTTCGAGCGTCTGCAAGACGAAGCACAAATACTCAAATTGCGGCCCCAGAGGCTTCGAAAATGGGAAAGATCATAAAGGGCAAAGAAGTGAAAAACCTCTTCGATAAATGAGATAACCTGCTCGTCTCCATCACTTAACCTTGGAGTTCTGGAAGTAACAATTTTTGAAGCAAATCATCTCCATCACTTACTTCATGGCACGATCATAAAGGTATGTGCTTAATTTTTGCTTAGACGAGTGATTTGATATCTTGAGAGCTCGAGTAAGGGGGAAATTTGAAGCTTTTGTTCCAAAAATATCATTTATTCTCTTTTTAATTGCAGATAGAGGTTGTATTTTGATCTTTTGATTTTTAGTTAGGTTATACCATCATCTTTTCGCTGTTCTTGAAGTGAAAATCATTTCATTGGTGAATTTTTTGTCCGACATATGAACTGTTTGTTGAAATGCTCCAACTTTGTTGATTTTTTTTTATAAGAAGCTTTTGATCCTAAAAACATATTCTCTTTTCAACAGTAGATAGTTTGACTTTCGGCTAGGTTATGTCATCATTTGCTAGTTGTTTTTGATGTGAGAATCAGTTCATTGATGAGTTTTCTCTCCAAAATATAAACTTCTTGTTGAATTTTTTTTATAAGAAGATTCTGATCGAAAAATATCTTCTCTTTTCAGTAGTGGATATATAGAAGATGTATTTTGATCTTTTGATTTTTAGTTGGATTATGCCTTTATAAGGTAGTTGATTTTGAAGTGAGAAGCAGTTCATTGATGAATTTTCTCTACCTTTATAAAAATATGCAGGGGTATTTTGATGATTATTCACGGTTTCAATGAGCACATGTTAGAAGAAAATTTTATGGCTTTGCAATATTTTGGAATTCTATATAACTTGCTGGTATTTACTTGTTGAAACTTTAACAAAGAGAAGTTGGAAATATAACAGCTAATATAATAAGGATTCTGTTAGATATCATATGATAGTTGTTGGTTTCAAAGTCCTATTTATAAGAATAAAAAATTTTCTAATTTTATCAGCAACTGTTTAAGCTAATACAGAGACCTCGTACAGGCCTACTATTGTTGTAGTAATTTTAGTAGGTCTGATTACATTATTGCTCCTTCCTTTTTGCTTGTATTTGTCAATTATTGAATGCATGAGTTGCTAAATAAATTGTTCATTCAAGTTAGGAAGAATGTATCATAATCATCAACGCTTGTCCTATTCACCCTACTTGTTTGCTAACAAACTTATCCTTTTGATTTTCAGTGGAAGATATGCACATTTCGCATCACAATTGACTGCATGCAGCATTGGAGTATATGCAATGGATTGGATTGGTAAGCTGGAGCCATTGTTGTAGTATAAGCTTGATCGTTAGTGTGACATATCTATGTGTTCTTATTATGCTTCAAAGCATTTTGTAAATTTTTGTTAAGATTATTGAGGGTGATTTAAGTTGTATTATTCTCTTGTTATCTTCTGATTGTAGTAACCTTTGGGCTCTATTTATGATTTAATTTCAATACTTTATGTCCACTAGAGTTAAATATTTAATGTTTGGCATTTTGTGCAGAGGAAGCCACCATAAGTTTTCTTCAACACAAACCTATAGTGGACTATTGTCCTAAGCTTGCTTCGGTTTAATACTTGAGGTAAGCTCCAAGTAGAGTTTGGATTTTGGCTTCTTTTGGGGTGGTTTTCTTACTTCTTCTTAAAACAGTTTTTTAGTATAAATATTAAAACTTTTGCACTAAAAAACTGCTTTATGAAGCGGTTGAAAAGTAGTACGAAACGAAGCCTTAGTTTTTGTTTCTGATGGCTTTCTTACTGCTTCTTAAAGTAATTTTTTGATACAAAAATTTTTTAAACAAAATTTTATTTACTAAGAAGTTGTTTTAGAAAGCAATAAGAAAGTTGTCCCAAATGAAGACTTAAATTTTGTTTTGGATGATTTTTTTAATGCTTCTTAAAGCAATTTTTCAGTGTAAACGTAAAAATTAAAAATTTTAAACTGAAAAGCTGTTTTAAGAAGCAATAAGAAAGTCGTCCCAAATGAAGTCTTAGTCATCATAATTAATTAGTTAAGCTTAGGCTCAAATTAGAGGTGCCAAAATAAATTATTACAAAAAAACCGCTTTTACTTTACTCTGGTTCTACCTAACCAAACAAGGGAAACAATTCTCTTGCGTTTATTTTGCAGACAACCAAACAGTCTCAAAGTATTCGGAATGCACTACATTTAATTTACATTGCATTTTATTTTCAGGCAATCAAACAGCCCCTTAGTGCAAATAAATTTTGTGAAATTAAATGAAATCCTAGACGATTAGATACCACCATAGCATTGCTCAATAGAAAGGGTCGAGTTTGGTCGTATAGCTCCACGATCGATAGAAGAGGTGGTGGAGACAAAAACCTCCATTCCAAGGGGCAACCCAAACTTCTCTGAGGGGCATCTAGTCACAATCAACCTAGGTTAATTTCAAACTTGACCCCTATTCGTGCAATTCAAGGCTTGCAATCGTCCATATTAGGAAACTATAATGTCATTGGAATCAATATGATGAGATGGTGATTTTAACTATAAATTTACAAAATTAGTGGTTCTTTGGTCCCAAATATAGTTTATGAATTTTATCTTAACTTGTTCAACCTTTGGAGTGCTTAAAAATTCATAAAATGCGCATGAATTTGTGAATGATTGCATGAATGAATTTTTCTATGTAGGTATGTAAATATCTTATGTATGCAAATAAATAAAATAAGTATTTCATAGGTATGTCATGTTCTCTACTATTGAATATTTTCTATACAATCATGCCCATATTCCATTTCTGTGTCCTCACTTCATATACCAAGGGTCGCTGAAAAACATAATTATATGTTGAGTTAAATTATCCAAGGACAGTGGTAACATAATAATATAATATAAGTATTTCAATAAAAGTGAACCCTCTAGCCAATAAAGCTGCTCACGTAACTTCTACGCAGGTTGAACAATAATTGCTAAGCAATTTTGTATGATAAAAAAATATAAGGAAATTAACCAAAAATATAAATCTTTATCTTCGGTACAAACCTGTCTTGGATGAACCAGATGCAAGTGTTTTCAGCTTATGTAAAACAGTGAACTGTATGGCAGTATAAGGCATATACATTAGCAAAGCTGGAACATTTCCTCTCCAAAAACCCTACACCAAGAGAAATATGAACTTAGAGAAGAAATCACAATACTCTTAAATGAAAATCAGTATCAATAGAAAGGAAAACCCAGAAAGAAACTACATAAATAGAAAATCATGCAATCACATTAAAGCTATGGAACATCTAACTAGTTGATGGTGTTACTATCTGATCAGAAAGTTGATTAATCCCGAAGGGAATACAGTAGTTCTATCCTAAGCCGAAGTATTCTAAAAGGTGAAGAAGTTATTCACTCATATATACTACAAATAAAGTTTGGAAGCATGAAAATGTTTGACGCTTGTTTTTCATTTAAAATCAAAACTCTGGGAATTCTAAAAAGTTGATATACAGTTGCATTATATGATCCAAAAGTTGGTTAAGGTGCAAGAAAAGAGAGAAGTTTAATTCAACACCTATTGTCTCACTAGGATAAGTTCTTTACCAAATATTACCAAACTAAATTGGAGCAACTTGTTCAGGTTGCAGATCTAAATTCTTGTTTACTGTATGCTTTCACACAACAAAGCAGGAACAAATATGAGAGAAGATGGAAAAAAAAATAGTATAATTATCTTCTAGAATATGAATAGAAATACAAGGGTTAATGCATTTAGAGGAATTGTAGGGGATTTAGTTTCATAAATTTAAGCCAGCCAAAAGTTTAATGAATAAAATCCTGATCCATGATACCCCTTTAAACTAAGGAAATTTGTTAAACGCTATAAAATGGACCGTCCACACTCCCAATATTCTCCATCCAAATATTCTAGAAAACCCGTTAAAGGTTTTCAACTTAATATTCAACCATCTAAACACAAGAAATTGTAAACCCTCGCGTCCAAATATAGCACAAAAAATGGTTAAAATTATGTATGAATTTCTAGTAGAATAGTATCCACTGATTGGCATTCATGCTATGAATTTCACCCTATTATGGTATACAACACTTAACAACATTTTTCCTCTGCACATACTCCTGCACATGCCTTGATTTAGATTGACACCATATAGAACATTAACAATTAACATACTCCTACACTGAGAAACAGTACTTATAACCCTTTTCATCTAGGCATTCGAGACTAACCGGTAAACCTTCCTCTCGAAAAATGTCTTTGCTAGCTTGCATGATTCCAGTATATTTTGCAGGCTTAGACATCTCCCGTCGGAGTAAAACCCATGAAGTAGGCTCCAACTGTACCTGCAAGTTAGCAGTTATAGAAGATATCCTTAATCTAATGTGAGATAAATTGAGCACCATAATACATTATCAAGAACTGAAAGAAAACATACTTGAATAAAATGCCGGTAAGAACAATCAATTATAAACCATTGTCATAAAAAAAAGGCATTCTACATGACTTCCATGAGAAACAATTCCTTTTTAAACAATCAGTACAAGATCATTCCTTGTCATTGAATTCATGCCCTTCATCAGAATCAAATTGGAAAAGCTAAGCAAAAATTATTCAGAACTCAAAAAGGTTTAAAACACAAAATCATAGCTGAACTTTGTTTGCCAGTACCAAAACTTACATTCACATGAAACACAAGGAATGTGGTGGCAATGTGATCACTGTACAGTGCCGTTCACAATTTTGATTTCTAAGATGGACAATTAGATATCTTTATTGATTATATGACTAAATCATTATCACAAGAAACGAGCATTCTAGTAGGTGGCCTGATTTGATGTAGCATGACATGGGGCAGCCTACTAACAAAAAGGTTTTAAATAGGAAGCTAGAAATAAAATGAGAATGGATACGAGAAAAAAGGTTAGATTCCAACATAACTAGAAGGATTTTGGCAAAAAGCCATTTCCTAGACAATTTTATAGTCATTTCATTTTGAAATTTTATTGATAATATTAACAATTATTTTTTTTTTCTATGTTAAAATTGGACACAATGGAGAAAAAGGATTCATGTAGCCGACCCCACGTAGTGGGATAAAGGCTTGATGTTGTTGTTGTTGTTGTTGTAATTATTATTATCATTAGAAGGAAAAATAATATTTTAGCGTGATAGGTTTGAGTATTTTGAAACTATTCTACAAAAAATTGATAATAGAGATGTGAGTATAACTTTTGGAGTTAAACCAGGGTGATTAAAATAGAGAAATGACTTGGAAGTATTAAGCGATAAGATGATATTGTGGAAAATTAAAAGGTAAATTTAATAAAAATTTAATTAGATTGTCAATATTCTATGGATTGAAGTGTTGGAAGTAAAAATATCATTACTAAGGTGAGGATAACTAAATGAGATTATTAAGACAAATATACAGTAATATTATGAATGATTATATTATAGGAATGATTTGCAAAAAATAGATTTAACAACTAAGATAAAACTCAACAGAAATGAATGAAATGTGAAAACTCATAAAGCCAAACACAAATAACAATAATAAAGCTCATTATTGATTCCAACCATAACATCAAGAATTAAAAAAGAAAAGAACATGAAAATAACAACAATCACCAATTATAGCACAAACAACATATTCATTTCGCTCTACATCTCTCCTTCTATCTCTCTCAGTTAAATGTATAAACTTTTCTTTCAACCTAAAGATCAAGGGAGCCCCAATAGATCAGTTCCTTTGCATTCATGGAATGAATTAAACATCCCATCAAATATCTTTGCTCTTCTATATAAAGTGTCATGTCTAGTATCCATCAACCCTCTAATCATACCCCCAAGCCTTCCTCAAAGTAAGCTTTAATGTCACTACATCCCTAAAAAGCTTAGTTAAAATGTTGAACATAACTTCATTAAAGATCATCAGCTTGAAATCAAAACTTCAAGGAAAGTCTCCTAATGTCAAAAAGGATTTGACTTCAGGCCTCTATCAAAACAATGTTGATCAGCAGGCAAATAGGTTTAGTTTGGCACAAGTGCTAGGAAACCAATGACAGCATGAGAAGAGAAGCTGCAAACGCATGCCAGTAAACACGGCCTGGATCATCAGTGCTGTGGTCATGCCAGCGTAGCCAAGCAAAAAACATCCAGATTTTTCTTAGCCTTCAGAAAACCTATCAAATGAGCTCTTTCTGGTCAAATGAACTCATGCGATCTTCATTTCATAATTGAGAAATTTTCCAGAATCTAAAAGCGAACATTTTGCCTATAATAGCACCGCATTAATAACAAAACACACCATTAACCTAATTCTACGCTCTATTAATCCGAAGCATTCATCCTTCCCATAGTAAATAATACCAATAAATACAAAATTAAAATTTCTCTCTCCAAAGCTTCCATCTTCACTCCAAAACAACAAAATCAAACCAAACTCAACAAATCAGGACAAGAAGCCCAACCTGAAACCTGATTTTGATGACGTCAAGAGGCGAAGTTAGCGTTCGCGAGATTGCCCCGGAAATGGCCCCAGCCGCAGCATCTATCATCGCGCGCTTAAGCTGCCCCGTCTCCTCCATCAAATTTCGTCACCAATCCGGCCCGACACGATATATAATTATACTCTAGTCAAAAAACTAAAGCAAGGGACAGATTTTGAGAGATAATAAAGGAAACAATGGCTGAAGCCGGGGATTTCTTCCAAAAGAGATAAATTAGGTATTTCCCGAGCCGGGATTTCGCCGACGAGAGAGGAATTCTGTGCTATAAAGAAAATATATCAAAAAGGAAAGATGATGAGCGAAGAATTTTTGAAAGATGAGAAGAATAGATACGCCGTGATCGAGAAAGGGAATCAATTGTTGTCAATCTAACCCTGTCGCGCTTTCTCCCACTCTCCCCCGATTCTTATACCATTGGTAATAGCCTCCTAATCGTAACGGTTGAGATTTCTGCACCGGTGTTCTAGAACAGAAAATAACAAATCTTTCAGCGAGGGCGACCGCTCAAGCGCTGCAACGGACAGGCCGCGGACTCTTGATTTGGTCCTCCCATCCTTTTGTTAATAATAATAATAATAATAATAATAAATGATCACGATATTTTAGAAAAAATCAAAATAATCTGATTATTTAATAATAAATTTGATTTTCATACATGGGTCTAAGGTCTTCAAAGTTGGTGAATATTTGATTTTCATAATATATAGAATTCAAATCACTTCTTTTCATCTTAGCGTTCACTTGAAAAATAGTGGTTGTGGGTTAAAGGAGAAGTTCAAACCTATATATTTTTTCTTCAATTTTACAAAATCATTTTGGAGATCTATTTGACAACTTTCAAAGTTAAACCAACCGTGATGCAGCACATCATATGGATAAAAATAATTAAAAAAAAAAAATTGATTGCAAGATCTAAGATTAAAGCTTGTTCTGCTGGTGCTGAGAGTGTTAATCATTTTTTTTTCGTTTGCAATTATACTCACTCTATCATCATCACGCTCATTCCGGAGGTTGCTTCTTTTTACTTTAGACCAAACCTGCTGCAGACATTCGACTGGGTTAATGACCACCCCACCCTATCTTCCCAGCACAAATACATCCTCTTCATCACCATATGTTGCACTGTTTACTATACTTGGCGAGAAAGGAATGAGAGGAGGTTTGCTTCCTCTGCCTCTAGTGTTTCGACTACTAAAATCAAGATTAAGAATGCCATTTTATGTAAAATTTCTAAATGGTGTGATGATGAAATTCTGCGGAGATTTACGAATTAGTTGCTCTGTTTTCTGGTGGTGGCATTGGCATTGGGACACTTGCTGCTGCAGTCGATGCTTGTTTTACAGATCGGATGTCACCTGCTATCATTTACTCTACAGACCGGATGTCACCTGTTATCATTTTCTGGTCTTCCTGGACAATGATGAACTCCCTTTTTTCCTTGGATGGCCTATGGGGCAACCAGGGAATAGCTGCTTCGATCGTTCTTTTAATTATTCTGAGTCCAGGTTTTCTTTGACCTAGGAGTTTTTTCGGGAGTACAAAGCCTATTTTTTATCAGATTAAGCTGATGTATTTTGTGGGGCCTCTCCCCTTTTCACTTCTGCCATTTTGTTTTGTTAGGCAGATTTTCTTTTTGGTATAGTTCTTGTTTTGTTCTGTTCAGCAGCTGGAGCTGTTTGGTTTTTGTTGACATCTACTGGAAGGTTGTGGTGGATGTCAATATTTACAGTTTTCTTTTACAGTTAATGCAATATTTGGACTACGGTCCCTAATTTTCCCAAAAAAAAAAAAAGTTAAACCAACCGTGATGCAGCACATCAATATGGATAAAAATAATTTAAAAAAAAAAAAAAATTGATTGCAAGAGCTAAGATTAAAGCTCGAGAAAAAGATCAAAGAAAATACCTAATTACAAAAGCCCGATAAAGAGCATATAGTTTTAACATTTTAAAAATAATTTTTGTGTGCTAGAAAATTTGAGTCTGTAGAGTTTATATTTCATGACTTAGCAGTGTGCAAAGATTCAGCACAAATAGATAAAAATAGTAAGATCAGAGAACTTTTGATATGGAAAACCTAGAAATAAAAAAAAATCACGGAGGCTAGCCCAATTGTAAAATCCACTATGTAGTAAGTGATAGAAAGATCTTCCCCTCTTCATTGTTGAAGAAGAGGAAGAGTACAAAGATCGAATTAATATTTACACCCAACAATAGGACTTAATCTTCTTGAGAGAAATTTTAGAAAACTAAGTGTCCACAAGCTGATAAATGTATCCAACATCGTGATCAATAATTGATAATATTCTGGAGATAACGATGGTAATCGGTGGTAGTAACTAGTGGTCGTTGGTGGCAATAGTTTGTGGTTGTTGGCATGAAGAACTTCTGGTTGTTGACAATAGCGATGATTGGAAAATGTTAGAGAGCTTTTCCTTCTTCTCTCCTTTTTTTTTCTCCCCCTTATGTGAATAATGAGAGTTTATTTATAATTTTTTTAGAGTGACAAGCTCATTAAATATGGAGAAGATCCAGGGTAAGTTTGGAGTGTTATATCGGATGGCTCATAGTGATTCATTTGATCATAAAATTTTCATCAAGCATTTAAATGCCTTAATGATGTTAGAATTGAGTAATCTTGGGCTCGTTGGATTCGTCTCATCAAGCTGCTCAATTCGACTTTAAGCATGTCATATTTGGATAATAATTTGCCATCCAATTAATGCTTTTAAGCTTTTTAATAAGCTTCAGTCTTTTGATTTGAGTCCCTTTGAACTCGAATTGGATCGGTTTTGGTGTCATCGTGTTCGTCTTGTTGAAACGTTCATTTTGACTATAAGTTTGCTTAGATCGGCGTTCAGATGATCGCAAATTAAATTTTGATGGTTTATAATTTAAATATTCATCGAGATTTGATAGCTAATGTGATTTTTGGTAACGTATCAATAATTTAAGTTTTATTTTTCATTTCAAATGTATATGGTCGAAAATGATATAGTTAGATATTAATTATGTATTAAAAATAGGTTGTTGGAATATAGTCTCCTTAATGGCAATGCTACTCCTTTTTCCTCCACTTTTTTCCTTCAAAAGTGTTTAACTAAAGGTCTTGTAATGTCTATAAATATGAGCTTCAATGCTTTTAATTTTTTATTTTTTTTAAATGAAATAATTTTATAGATAAGTACTCTTTATTTTATTAGTGTTTGGTGGTTTCCAGTATATGCCTTTTCTTTATTGTAATTAAGTAACTATCTTTAATTTATTTCTTTTTATTCATTATTCCTATTTAACATATGCTCTTAACTCTTCACAACTCGTTGTTCACATCATAAGCATCCTCTAAGACCAATAAACTAACAATCAAAATCTAAAAACTATTTCAAACATTCCATTCTCTTTCTGAAATACTTATATTCGATAAAGTTTAGGTCATAATAATGCATTCTTGCGAGATTTTTATCAATTGATATAAATGGAATGTAATTTTTTGATAGATTTGTCTAAGTTTGTTTTTTTACATATTTCTCGTTAAAAAATAATTATTTTCTTGTAGTGGTAAGCATCAACTGTAATAGTAATGGTGGATGTTCGCGTTGGATTCAAAATTAGGTTTGATATTGATGTTGATGTTGAGCATCAGCTTTAGTCAACACAATCTGCATCGATCTTGATGACAATAATACGTATCAACATTATTGAATATGACACAAGTTAATATTAGTGTTGATAGTGGCCATCAATGTTAGTGTCAACTAAGAACATCAATGTTATTTGCGATGATAAATGTTGACCTTGGTAGCAATAATGAATATTAACGTTGTTGGTTTTGAGAGGGGTTGATATTGATGGCAACAACACTTGTTGACCTTATTGGTGATAACAATCATCATTTTTGTGGGGACAACAGGCGGAGGCATTTTTTGCGAGAATGGGTAGCAATTTTATTTAATATGGTTGATGACAACTTTGTTAGTGATAGCGAGCATCAACTTTAAGAGAGACGATCGATGGGTGTATGCATCATTGGAGACAGATCCAACTTTTTGAGACACATTTTAATTATAAGCACATAGAAATTAGATGAGATTCAATCTCTCAAATAATCTCAAAAAGTTTTATGTACATTTTGACTCAGATCAAGACATTCTTAATATTATTAATGTTTAATTATGAAGTTGCTTCGACTATAAATTTGCTAAAAATAAAGCTGCTTTTGCAACTATAGTAGCAAAAATATTTTCTCCACAACAATTTTACAGCCTAAAATACTACAATCATCCCAAACAGATCCTCAATTTCAAGTTGACTCACCTCGAATTTAACCACTTTTGAGTGGATTGAATTTGAATGAAGTTAACACAAAATTTTAAAAAGTTCAAAATTTATTTTATATATATATATATATATGTGTGTGTGTTAGTGCTTACCATGAGAGAAGATAATAAGCAGTAAGTGGTCATCTTTTGACAAAGTTTCAATCATAGAGACAAAACCTTATGTGTTATGGCTCAATGCAGCTAAGCGATCCAAGGCTGTCATGATGAGATACTGGTGGTTGCGAATGCCATCAAGCACTCTGTGTGGCTGTAGTTAATTACCAGCTTTGGCCACTTGGAGAAGATAGAAGAGGGCAGAATTAAGTTGCCATGCACACTTAGTAGCATAAGCATAAGTGGTCATAAGCATCAGATTTATTCGTCAAGTTGATGCCAGTTGATAGTTAACAAAAGCAAACATCATTGCAAGAATGACCAAGCAATAATGGTTTTATGATACAAGCTTCATCATGGTTTGGATATTTTCTCAAGTCATTGTATCATTGATGCAAAGTGAAAATCGTCCGTCATCAGGGGGTGAAATTATTCTGTGTGGTCACCGGACGACATTCGGAGACGAATCAAGAAGCATCGCATCACTTTTTTGTTGTGTACTGGGTGACGTTGCACATCCTGATTCTCCTCCGAATAGTCCGGTGACCGCACAGAATAATTTCTTCATCAGAAGGATGAACTAACAATATGCTTATCCTACCTCAATTTTATACATTGAAGTCATTTGATTTGATGTCAGTGTTTTGAATCAAATAAGATTCATTAATTTTGATTGGAGCCATTGATCCAAACATAAAATTTGGGTCCATTTTGCTCTTGATTATATGACAAATTATTAATATAGGCATCATTTGGGACATCTTTTTTATAACTTTATTTTTCATACTGCAATCACAGTTACCATTTGGATCCTATTTATTCATTATTTTCAAGAAATTTACATGTCAATAATATACATTTTATAGCAACTTTTAAAAAAATTATTTTCTCAACAACTATATAAGCACTTTTATAAAAAGTTGCAATCGTCCCAAACAGACACCTAATATACATAATAGGTCCATCTATCGATTCAAATAAAACAACAAGAAGAAGAATAACGTCAAGTCTTTATAGGGTCTACTACATTAATGTTTTTTTCTCCATTATGTTATATTAAGAGTCAAACTCTTATTTAAATGAATTAAATAAACATCATTTCTAATACTTTCTAACCAAATATTTTTACGTCTATCTCAACCTCTTTTAACATAGGTCAAATTTATATATTTACTTTTCTAATTTGAGTCATCGAAAGACCAATGTTTTATACGACCAAATCATCTAAGACAACTCTCTTTAATCTTATATGCCTCTGGAGCTACTCTAACCTTTTCACGTATCTGCTTGTTTCACATTCTATCTCTAAAAATAAAATCACTCATCCACCTGAATATCCTCATCTTTGCAACACTTCCTTAATTTTATGTTTTTCTTTTTAATGACAAATATTCTGCCTCATAAAACATTACAGATCTCATCATCATCTAATAGAGTTTTACTTTAAATTTGAAGGATACTTTTTTATAACACAAAAGACCTGATAAAAAACTGTCATAATCACAGCAAACTCCACAACAAATCAGTATTTATATACGTTCTGCAAGAATTACGCATTCCACCCTCAATTAATTAATTTAAAAACTGCTCAAAAGGCCGAACCGTCATCGAACCCGGCCTCATAACCTGAGCCGTCGGAGATCATATCGCCAATGAGAAGCCCTCCAAGAGCGCCGCCCATAATCCCCGCTGCCAGCCCCATCCCCGAACTACCTTTATTCCCAGGCTTCATTGACACCGGTGCCGGAGCCTGTGCTGGAGCTCCATAACCGTATCCAGCCAGCGGGTAACCATACCCAGCAGGCGAATAACCATATCCAGCCGGCATGCCCGGAGCAGCGTTCCCATATGGCTGTTGGGCAGGGTAATATCCCGCCGGCGGGTATGCAATCACCGGCTCCTGAGCCGGCTTTTCCGCCGGTGGTGGAGCGACGAAGTGAAGATGAGGGTAGGGGGAAGGCGGCGTGATAGGATCGCTGATCTTATATGAGAAGTTGAGGACGCCTTTGGGCTTATTGGAGAAGGGGCGGCGGACCTGGTAGCTGAGAAACCGAGTATCTCCGGCGTTGGCGATCATGTCGCGGAGAGGGATTTGAACGACGCCGACATAGCGGTCTCCGAAGAAGCGATCAGCGCAGAGAAGGATGCGGAGAAAAAGGTTGCCCGGATTCCCGGCGGGGAAGGTGAAGTGGATCGTAGCGTTCCAATTGGGGTTCCGGCCACCGTCGCGGTCGGGGGCGATGCGCTGCCGCGACAGCGGGCTGTCGGAGTACATGGTGACGATGGCGTAGACGCGCATTCTGGTGAAGAGGTTAACATTTTTTAGGTCATTTGCGGAGATGAGGGTGAGGTCTAGCGTGCGGTATGCCATTGCCGGACGGTAATTTGGGTTAGGGTTTCGGGATAGCGGACTATAAATTGATGTGAAGAGGTTAGCGAGTGGTGGCGAAGGAATTTGCGTTTGGTAATTTGGTAATTAAGCTTCCGCGAGAAAAAAGGACCGTTATGTATTGACGCGTTGGTTGAGACAAACTTAGGAAGATGATCAAAATTATTTTAATTTATTTTAAAATAAATATTATATATATAAAATTTAAATATTATACTCATTGAAATTTTATAGACTTTAAATTATTCTAATTATTTTTTAATCATGATACAAATATTTTTGAAAATTAATACAAAAAATTTGAAATAATATTCTAATCAAAATATATTCATAATAGGCATTAAAGCCTTAGATCTATTTTTAGATTAGTTCGGTATATAAATATTTTATATTTCATTTTATCTCAATCAAGATTCAAAGATTTTAAAATTTATTTAGATAAAATTTTTTATCAGAATAATCTGACAAATTTTTCCAAAACTAATTGATGTGACCAATAAACACAGGAATTACTTAAAAAAATATGCCCCCTATTTAGAATCCTTTTGGGACAACTACCGTTTTTTTTAAAGTTGATTATAAAATTGTAGTCGGAAAAATAATTATTATAAAATTGTAGCCGGAAAAATAATTTTTTTAAAATTTGTTATGAAAAATAGCTTCATAACTTTTTAAAAAAAAAAAACTATAAAAAGATAACAGCCAAATACAAATGAGATAGATAGTTATCTCGATGGATCTCCAAAAACATATACGCAACTATTTAGGGGTATAAGTGAGCCGAGTTAGCTCAAACTTGGCTATTTAATAAGTTCACGAGTGGAGCTTATTGAGCAATGAGTTCGAGATCGAGCCTATACTTGATTTTATATATTAAATGAGCTTGAGCTTGTGCTCATTTTGGCTCGGCTCGTAAGCTTAGTTAGCTGCTCAATTAACTTGAATTATATTTAAATATTAATTTTTAATTAGCATTATATAATATATTTAATCTTTTTAAATGATTTATATATTCTCTCATTATTTTATTCATGAAACAAGCAGGTACGTGAAAATGTTAGAGTATAATATATTTAATCTTTTTAAATGATTTCTATATACTCTCATTATTTTATTCATGAAACAAGCTGGTACGTGAAAATGTTAGAGTATCTCCAATGTGATGTAGACAAGAAAAATAGGGGACCCTATATTTCTTGAACACAATAGACACACAAGAAGAAATCTGACACAATGAGTAGAACTTAAAACAAATTTTATTAAATAAACGTAAACTTTTATTTGTATATTAAAAGTAAAATGTTAAAAAATTTGAAAATTTTAATTTAAAATGAATGAATTGAGCTCAACAATCAAGTCAAATTTGGGCTTTCTTAACCAGCTCAAGCATTTTTTTTTAATGAGCCCTGTTCGAGCTCAAGTAAATAAGAATTAAATAAGCTCAACTTGATTAAGGAGAGACTAAACTCAATTCAACTACAATCACTCAATAAAATTATTTTTTGTTAATTATATATGAAATTAACTTAAATAATAAAATTTTATGAATAAAATAAATCACATAATTAATTTAGAACAATTATAAATTAGCTCCTTAAAAAAGAATCATAGCTTTATAAAAAAAATTGATAAAAATATATTTTATTTTAATATTAATGCATAAAAAAATCGAGAAAATATTTGATATTTTGTATGATATTTAATAAATCTAATAATCTTAATTTGTAATTATTTATAAAATAAAACGAATTATAATATTTATCTGAAGAATTTTATTATCAGAGTTTTATCGCATAAAAATAAGCTCTTTTATGAATATCCAAAATAGCATCAGACATCCGTTAACTTTAAAAAGTCTTTAACAAACGAAAGAAGACAAACCGGACCTTTGATAGGTTTACCTTCCCTAATTATTTTTTTTTGGGGGGTAAATCCTTCCATCTGAACAGCGAGGCGGAAAAATGGCGGCGTTCGGCAGCGCAGGGGAGCGGTGGTGTGCTGTCACCGGCGGTCGAGGATTTGCAGCTCGCCACCTGGTGGAGATGCTACTCCGGTCGCAGGAATGGTGCGTTAGGATTGCCGATCTGGGGCCCTCCATCAACCTCGAGCCCCATGAGGAGACAGGGGTCCTTGGCGACGCCCTCAAGTCCGGAAGAGCTGCCTACGTGTCTGCTGATCTACGCTTGAAGCCTCAAGTCTTTAAAGGTGGCGCCTTCTTCACATTTTATCTATTTATTTCAGTAATTGCAGTTTCTTCTAGGGTTCCGCTTTAACTTTTTTGAGGCAAGTTAATCCTGTTAAATTTTTCTGTTGCGTCTTTGCTTACACATTTTTGGGTTATATCAGATAATTGGAACGCTGCATATGGCTATTTGTTGTGTGATTGAGGATTGAAGGTGAAATAATTGTGTTGTAAACCCGGTCTGTTCATGTCTGATTAGATTTGTGTCTGTAGTAGGTTAAGAGGAATTTCATTGGACCTCAAAGTAGTTAATTTATGATTGAGAAAATTTGAGTCGTTTCTGTTTGTGAGTAAATCATGGAGCACGATACCCTGAACACAATTTGATTGTCAATATCCGAGCGAAACCCTGAAATTGTACTGATACAAGTCATATGTTGCTGCAAATTTCATCTATTAAGCACACATTTTGACGCAAATATCAAATCTCAAAGCATCAAAATATTTTGGGTCACATGCTTCAGAATTTGATTCCGGGATCATCCAAACATCATTTTAAGCAAATTTGTAGATTAGAAAATACGATTTAGCGGATGAATCCAATAATATATGTACACCCCATTATATGCCATAAGCAACTTGCAAGGTGTAGCCCTGTTATTATTATTATTATTATTATTAAATCATGTGGAGAGGGGACGACTAAAATAGTTATGGCATTGTAAGATCTGACTCTTTTAATTTTAACACAAATTTGATTTTTTATTATATTAAAAATTTGAAAAAAGTATTTAAATATTTTTCACCTTTTAGTTAAAAGATTTATGACATACTGGTGCAATTATTAATAAATGTCACAAAACATTGTGCCTCACAGATGTTAGGTGTAGAGGATGACATATAGATGGTGTGACAAATGAGAGAAAAAGAAATATAAATTTTTTATATTTTATCTGTTAATAAATATTATAATGAACTTTTCTTATATTATTTTCTTTGAATAGCAAAGGGAATATGATTTTAAGTATAATAAATGATGGGTGGCTAAGGTTTAGGTGTTGATGTTAGAGTTTTTTTTATTGGATTTATGGATTCTAAGGGAGGGAATAATGCTGAAGGTTGTATGGAGTTTTCTTGATAATTGAATTCCTAAAGATGATAATGCCATCCTTTTCTATAGCAAGCCCAATCGTTTCCCTGCATGCCTTATTCCTTAAAAGACATAATATAAAGATAAAGCCTTATTCCTTAAAAGACATAATATAAAGATAAAGCACAACACGATATATGGAATCTTTTGTTATCTTTTGAATGGACGTCAGGTGGTAAATAATATAACTTCATGGAGGAAATTTTGGAGTGTGGGATATTTTTATAAAAAATTCTCCTTGAATAACTATGATGGTTAAGGATCTATCAGTCTTGATTACTTCTGTGTTGCTAGGACAATAGGTATATAAAGATTTATGAGAAGAGTTGTCCATTTGATCTATAATATTTGAATCAATTATCTAATATCTGAAAAATGGGTATCTCAAATATTTTAAAGGCATGAGAAGAGGATGTAATTTTTTTTTTCGTGCCTTAGAAATAACCCAATTTTCTTCTTCACTTTAAGAGCCTTTAAACCAAATGTGATCACTTTAGATGGTTAATCTATTCTACTAGTACATTGAATCGATGTTTTGCAACTCTTTCATTGGATTTAGATTGTATCATTCAATTCCAAGAGAGCTTGAGACCAAGAGTATGTAGGTATTATTATTTTTATTTGTGGAGAGGAAAACTATTGCTCTATTCACTGGAAAAATATTATAAACAAAAAGAAATGCGACAATGCAACAATGAAGGTTGCAATAATGGTACAAGCTTGTGTCAATGCAACAATGATAACTGTTAGTAGCAATACAACAATGATGGTTGCAATTATAGAAAATAGGGAAAAAAAGAAGAGTGCAAAATGAAAACTGTGGGATTTTGATATTGTAATGATGAAGGTAGCAGTATTAGGAATACAATGAAGACAAAATACGAGGACTCTGATACTATTACAAGAATTTGAAGGAATAGGTTGAGTATTTTATTTCAAGTATTAATATAGTCATACGAGAGTTTATAATTGAACATATATAAATAAAAAATAATAATTTCATAATACTTATAACAATTTATGAATTGATGAGTATGCATAATAATAATTTTAGAATAATTGTAATAATTCAAGAATTGATGAGTAAACAATAGAGATCTCTCCGATCAATGAGGTGGCAACAAAATAAAAAGGAAAGATGGCTGAAGTCTTGGTGAGTGTGGGTACTAAATGGTGAAAATTAGTCATTTTACAATTATAGATTATTCTTTCACAAAATTTTTCATGTCATTGACATAAAGATTAAAAGAAACAAATCAAAAAGAATATTAGGTTTCTCTCAAAGTGTTAAAATTAAAAATATTTTGAAAGATTTAATATGATGCATTCTGCTCCTATATTTGTACACATAATAAAGTATGATAAATTTATTTTGAATCAGTGTCTATAAAATTAACATAGAAAAAGAGAAAATGAAGAATATCTCATATGCTTCTGGTGCGATCAATGTTGAGAAGCTTGATGCATGCTTAGGTTTGTACAAGACTTGATATGGCATTTGTAGTAGTGATATTGGGTGGATACCAAAGTAATGTATGCCTTGATCATTGTGGAGATATGAAAAAAATTATGCGGTATTTGCAAGGAATTAGATATTACATGTTGACCAACAAACATATTGATATTTTGTAAATTGTAGGGTCGTCTAACTATGATTTTGTTTGATATATGGATACAAGAAAGTCTACATTAGGATATATTTTCCTCATGCTAGAGGTGTCATATTTTGGAGAAACATGAGGTTGATATCCAAAATATTAATACCAAACTTACAATAGCTGATAACATGACTATAGGGTTACGATCAAGCAATTTGAAGATCATTTGGATCATATGGGGGTCATATGTCTATGTATGTTTAATACGTTTCTTAAACTATTTGATTTTTTAGAATTAGGACATGTCTTTTTCTTAATGCACATATAAAATATATGCCAAATATATAGTTTAACTTTGAGTAACTTGAAGTTATTTATATTGTATTAAATATTTTATAAATGTTGATGTATTTTGTGAAATTGAAGAAAATATTTAGTTTGTGGAATATGACCACCATAATCCATCGGTTGCAATTTTATTTAAGTGGTAGCTCTGTGGCCATATTGAAAATTAAATTATTACCTGTTGAGTATTTTGATTGTCAAGTAGTTCAAGTGGGAGAATGCATATAATTTTTTGAAAAAAACAATTATTATTTTTAAATGCCTTTTGTTATCCATTTTGAAAACTTTGAAAAATGCTCCATTGATTAGTAACTAACTACTTGATGGAAGGAGTTGGAAAGGTGTTCACTTATATGAAAAAGGCATTTATTAAGTTTATAGGAGTCCCAAGTCTTGCCTATTGTGGTTGTGTGCATATTTACATCAATTGTTCAGTTGTGTTAGATTGCTCTCTGGCGAAGGTTGAAGAACTCGTTTATCTCAAAATTAATCCATGATCGGTGATGTTTCTAAATTAAATCTCTATTTTTTGATCCGTCAAGGGTTACTAAATCTGGGATTTGGGATAGCATTTATTAAATTTAGATTTCTAATGCCTAAAAAAAGTTTGTGGATTTCTGTGCCTAAAGCCTTGGTAGTGGGATACCAACAGTTCCTTAGTGTTCTGACTTTGATGTGAAATACAAATGATGTGAAAACCACTAGGAGTTACTTCAAGAAATTAGAGAGAGAAAATATTAAAGTTTTGCTCCTTTAAATTTAACGCTAACACATAAAAGTGAGTTAGGAATTTAAAATTTTTTAACTTTATTAGGTCCAAAGAAATGCAATTGAAATTAACTAAGACCATTCTTTCAAAGTTCCAGGAGAGTTAAATGCAAAGTACAATTAACAAAAGTCCAACATTTAACAATGAGAATTTCACCACGAGGACAGTCTCACTCACTTATTAGTAGGCTTTTAGCAGAGAAAGAAGAGCCAAATAATGAGAGATATTACCACTACAAAGATGGCGCCGAAGAACTTTGTTGGTGGAGAGGTAGCCGGTGGGGATGGATGTAGTGGGTGGTTTACGAGGCTCCAATCGTAGCTTGAGAACCGTCGGTCGATGATGCTCACAAGAATCGGGACGACTCGATCCAAGTATTCTTCAACTGTGGCGTCGTCTTCAAATCCTAAGTCAAAGCACGGAGATTTTAAGATGTTGATGCTTCCGTCGGCGTTGAACACAAGACCCCATTCAAACTCGGGATCCGCCATTCAACATTGAAGAGAATCGGAGAGAGAGAGGTGTCGTCTTCTCCTCTTCTTGCTGTAATTTCCCAGGAGAGGGAGTGAGGAGGTGGTCGGCCAAAACAGAGAAGGAGGGGGCGGGTGGATGGGATGAGGAAAATTGGGTTAGGAGAGGGGAAGAGGAGAGTTACACAAATCTGAAATTAATTTCAGAATTTGAGTAAATTAGAGGGAAGAAAATTTGAAATTGATTTCAAATTATCAATAGAATTAAGGGGCAATTAATGGGCATTAATGTGGCCCATTAAAGAGGAGGCCGGCGGCTCAAGAGAGAGAAGGAGAGGGCGATTTCAAAAATCTGAAATTTAATTCAGGTTTTGAACGAAATTAGGGGAGGATTAATTTGAAGTTGATTTCAAATTAATGGGGTAATCAATGCCTTAATTGGTGGCATGAATGAGGGCCCATCCATGGTGGCCGGCGGCTTTAAGAGGGAGGGATTTGGTGTGGGAGCAAGTAATTAGTTTTCAAATTGGCACATGAGGTTTAGGAAAGGTTAAAATGAAATCTGTTTGAATTTGAATTTCATCATACTTCGAATGTTAAAAAAAAATTCCTAATTAGGAAATTCCGAAATTGGAAAGTTTGTGAAATTCAAATTTTGAATTTTCAAATTAGAATACGTGGGGAATGGGGGATGAGGCCGGCGGTTGAAAGTCTCACTGTCGGATGGTGGTGGTGGGGTGGCCGACGGTCAAGAGGGAGGCTAGGGCCGGCGGGTTGGGGAAAAGGAAGGGAATCGGATGACGGGGATAGGCCACGAGTCACGGACTCTTCCAATGACTGGTGGGTATTGCGTTTCGCCCTCACCTTGGGCTCTCGTTCTCCTCTCTAGCTCTCCACAAGAAGAAGAATAAGACAAGATAACTAAAATAAATTTTCATTCATAATCTTCATTAAGCTCAAAACAATACATGAGACCACTATATATAGGTCTAAACTCATACAAAGAGAAAATACGAAATTGCCCTCTGGGCTACAATAACAAAGTAACTCCCCACAGGGGTAAAAATGGAAAGACTGCAAATAAAATAAGATAATAATAAAATACATCATGACATCTAAATCAAAAGTAGAGGCGCTGAATCGTGGCCGTCGATCTGTGGTTTCTCCGGCGATAAACATGTCGGTAGCGTCTATCGATGTCCTCATCAGACTTGTTTGTTTTTGTGGAAGGAGTAAAATTTTAGACCTGCACGTTATTCAAAAGCAATATCATACAACCAAGTGGTTGGTGGTCCCGTTATTTTTGTGTCTTTTCTTGAACTGAAGAATTTACTGAATTCTTCCTATTAGAATGTTTTTAGCCAAGTAGTTTAAGCAAGTTTATTGAACATTAAAAATTCCTCCATTTGGAGGACTTTCAAATTTTTTCTTTTGACTGTTTACTACTTCCTCATAAAGAAGTCTATATAAGTTTCATCTAGTTGATTCCTTGTTTGCTAAAATGTACTGTAATTTCGCAGCTTTTGATGGTGTAGAAGCTGTTTTTCATATGGCTGCCCCAGATTCGTCTATTAACAACTTCCAGCTTCATTTTTCAGTTAACGTTGAGGGTAATGTATCTCTACTTTTCCATTCTGTTGAATCATCACTATTATCGCTTACAGAAATTTTCTTAGGTGTTTGATGCATGTTAAATTTGGAAGGGCATATTCAATTGTTCATACTCAATAAAGATCTTTACTGTTTGGACCCATGAATTGATTTTTCTCAACAAATATCTGCTTTGTACAACTGCAGGAACCAAAAATGTTATAGATTCTTGCATAGAATGCAAAGTTAAACGACTGATCTATACTAGTTCTCCTAGTGTTGTCTTTGACGGCATTCATGGAATTTGTAACGGGAAGGAGTCAATGCCATATCCAGTAAAGGTTGCCATAACCTGTACTTTAAATGTTCAAATTAAGTATGCTGGATACATGGTGTTTATCATCTTATGCATTGATGTCTTTGGTTAAGATTAATCTTCTTTTTTCCAGTTCAATGACTCTTATTCAGAGACTAAAGCAGCAGGAGAAAAACTGATAATAAGTGCAAATGGTAAAAATGGGCTTTTGACTTGTTGTATTCGACCTAGTAGCATTTTTGGCCCTGGTGACAGGCTTTTGGTTCCCTCACTTGTTGCTGCTGCAAGAGCTGGAAAATCCAAGGTAATGCAGGCAGACTTTATAATTATTTCATCTCCATGATATTAATTTGTTTTCTGCAGTCTTATGAGTTTTGCAGCTGTACTCAGTATTAGGTTACTGGTAGCTTTTTATACTAAATAGCTCGGTTATTATATGTGGATGTTTGTTCATATTTAAGTATTACTTAAGTATGATCTAGGATGAGATAAACAATCTGTTTGGTTTAATGCTATTTAAATAATATTATTATCTGAATAACAATGCTATTTAGATGGCAATGTTTCAAATGTTTGTATATTTTGTTTTAATATGCATCTTTCTTATAGCACAATTTTGACAAATTAATGGTGATTAAGATTTTTTTTTTGAACTTCTTATACCATTAAGATTTAGGTATTCTAGATGACATCCACTTTGAATGTTATCTAAATCATCCTTTTTATTCATTTATTATTATTATTTTTATATCTAAATCATCCGAATCTTGACTACTGATGTTAATAAGATTACCTTAATGTAAGAGATAACATCAAATCAAACACCATTTATCATAAATAACATTACATTACATCAAAGATAACATTATACCAAGAAACTCCTAATTTTACTCTTTCATGCTATTATATTAATACTTAAGACTCATTTGCATTTCCTTTGGTGTCATCTTGTATTATAGTTTGCTTTTCTACTGGTACTTATGCAGCACGTTTGCAATACACTGACTTTATTTTCATTTTTATCAGTTCATCATTGGTGATGGAAATAACCTGTATGACTTCACGTATGTTGAAAATGTAGCATATGCCCACATATGTGCTGAACGAACTCTAGCAGCAGGTGGTGCAGCTGCAGCCACGGTAGCAGGGCAGGTAATTCATTTTGTTTGTATTTTTTCTTCTTGATTATTTTTTCTCATCTTACCTTCTTGCAGGCATATTTCATTACAAACGTGGAGCCAATAAAATTTTGGGAGTTTATGTCATTGATTCTTGAAGGTCTTGGATATGAAAGGTGAAAATTCTTCCATGCTATTCGTTTATTGTGCTTATTTGTGCAATTTAAAGTTTGCATAAGCTCCACATAATCCTTTAACCATGACTCATCATTCGCCAATGAATAGTTCCTATCCTTTTTTCTTTTTGGAGATTCTGCTACTATACTTCCCCGTAATTCCGTTATATGTGAACATCCTAACAAAACAACACACGTTCCCTTTACAGTGTTTGTTTCGCCCTTACTATGAATCTTTCAGAGTGATTTGTAATTTTTGTATCATGATGTCTCTCGATAATTGCAAAAAATCACTTGTCTTATACTTTTCTATATGCATTTGAAGATCCCAATATGGCAAAGCATCAATTAGGTTTGATTTTCACCTCCCTTGTAAACAAACTATCATCTTCCATCTCTTTTTGACTCTCGTACTAACAAACATGCATACAATGGTGAACATGGATGCTCACATCAAGGGGTATAAGTGTACAGATGTACATCAGTGCATGTTGATCCTTTCTTGATCTCTCTGCCACGATGTGGCTCAGAGGCTTGAATGAATGAGGCGGGAACATATGGTCGGATGAATATTTAAAATTTTGTTCACTAACATTATTAATTTCAAATTATTTCCAACATACTAAAAAAAGCTGGATAAGCTTAGAGAGAATCGCCTTAGATGATTTGGTCACATAAAATGACTTCCTTATGATGATCCGGTTAGGAGAGTAAATGTATTAGATTTGGCCTATGTTAAGAAAGGTAAAGGTAAAAAGAGTTGGTTAGAAAATATTAGAATTTCTAATATTTTTATTAGATTTAAGTGAGAATTTGACTCTTAACCTGACACAATGGAGAAAAAAAAAAGATTCATATAGCCAACCCCACGTAGTGGGATAAAGGCTTGATGATGTTGTTATTGTTGTATACTAAAGAAGCCACTAAACCCCAAATTCATTTTAAGAAAAAATAATATAATTATTGAAAATAAATACCTCTCTCTTATAGTATCTATCTATGGTACACGTTCTCTCTTCTTCTACTCATTTATTTCCTCTAGATGATACCTATATGCATTTATTGAGTGATAGGAGTGAGTTATAGCTCAACTTGATAAGTGTATTATGTTTCTAAATTATAATAACGAGAAGGAATGCTAAAATAATATATGTTGGTCTTACAACAATAAGAATTTCATTTGATGGTTAATTAAAATTTAAATATGTTGTTGCAGCAGGCCTTGAAACATTTGATAGTATTATGAATAAATAGAGTTCATTTAATATCATATCTTTTTTCATAAATTATACAATTGTCGCAGGAGCAACCATCTAAATTTGTAACAATTAAGGTATATCATTTTCCATTTTCTTTTTGCAATTTACACGCGTGGATACATTGCATTCCCTCATGCAAGTGAGGCGAGGCGGGCCTCAACCAAGTTGAGGCGCAAGCCTCATAAAATAACTCGAGGCGTAAGCATTGAGGCATTTTTTACTGGAATTGCGCAAAGGCGGGCCTCAAGGCGAGCCTCATATTGCACAATTTTAAACCATGATAGTACTATAAGGGAGTGTAATTTATCAGTCAACGTGTAAATGTAATCTTTTATCTATATTCAATTCATTCACATATCATTCACAAACTTTATATAGTAAATATGGCGATTAATTGAAATATAACGTGATAACTATCACCTGTTTCAATACGGACAATCATTAAAATGTTATAGATAAATCATGATTAAATTTGCAATAATAACTAATTAAGCAAGTGATGTATTTGATTTAGAAGAAGCAACATTATTACTATAAATTGAAAATAGGAGTACTCACCTAAAGTTTAGATGATTTAATGATTCATCTCTCTCGCCACTTCAACTTCATTTTGACACTTGCAATCATATATAATTACATACAAACATACATACATACGTATATGTATAATTTATGATAATAAAGACGTAAGGAGTGAGGTGAATCATTAAATCCAAGGTTTTGAAAACCGGACCGGATAACGAACCGGTAGGAGGAGAGGTTCTCGGTTCAACCGGTTCGACCGGTCGAACCGGGGTCGAACCGGGGTCGAACCGGATGATGTAATAAATAATAATATCATTAAAAAATATATAAACATAAACAAATGCATAGCTAAATCTCCAATAGAAAACAAACATAAATATGCAAAATAATTGTTCATAATTGTTGATAATTTCATATCAAAACAAACTTCAAATAAAATATGCAAATAAATCTAAAATGTCATGTGGGACTTTCTTGCACGAAGCTATGTTACCTCTGATTCCTGCTAAATGTTGCTTAATCCTATTAATTCCTCCACCTTTATAAGTAATCCCACAATGGAGGCATCTAAATTATTTTTTTCCATCTGGCCCTTTACTTTCAGTACAATGACTCCAAGCTATATCAAGCTTCTCACGCACACTTTGAGTCGAAGTTGTTTGTGGATCCATTTTAGAGTATTGTGCTCGATAGCTAAAAAAAAAAAAAAAAAAAAGAAAGCAAAATGAAAAAAAATTGTGCAGAAATTTCCCATACATTCATCAGTGGATATTACAAACTTAAGTGGATATTTCCCATCAGTGGATATTACAAACTTCATACAAAATTGTGCAGAAATTTCCTTATTTTGTGGAGTCTTAGATCTGTAGATTGTCTGTTTGTGTTTGGGAAGGTTTGGAAATATTTCCCATACATTCATACTATGCAAAATATTATTACCTTGTGAATTCTCTACTCAAATAAATTTAATTCATAAAATTAATATATTAATTATATAATTAAAATCTCATATGAATATTGAATTTATATAACGAAATTTGCTATATATAAATCTCATATAAATATTGAATTTATATAATGAATTTTTATATGTATATATATATATGCACACCATTAATTATTTTTTAATTAATAATGATTATAACATCGTAATCTAACTATCATTTCCTTTAATTAGAATATATTAAATTTTATGAATACAATTAAAATTCAATTGCTTCTAAATTAATTAATTAATTTAATTTAAAATCCAAATTCTAATGCATATGTATATACATAATTAAAGCACAAAACGTATATTAAAGAACTGTCTTAAGTGGAAGAAAGACAATAAATATTTTAATTTCATGGATGTTGTTGAATATGCAGGCCAAGGATAAAAATAGCTGCTTCCCTCATGATGCCAATAGCCCACGTAGTAGAGCTAACATACAAGTTGTTTTCACGGTATGGAATGAGTGTACCACAGCTTACACCTTCCCGAGTTAGACTTCTTTCATGTGAAAGGACTTTCAGCTGCAGCAAAGCTAAAGAACACATTGCTTATGAACCTATTGTTTCACTCAAGGTTTTGCTTGCAGAGCACATTCCATTTGATTCATTTCTCTTATTTTTACAATACAAGGAATTCATGGAAAATTTTTCTGTTTGACTCTCTATTTTCCTTATTTTATTCATGATTGCAGGATGGTCTAAAGAAGACAATAGATTCATACCAACATTTGAGGGCCAAGCAACAGAAGCGAACTTCTAAGGTTTATACCTACCTAGGAAATGAGAGTGGTATGCCTTTTGTGAGTTCAATTCTTAAATTTCTTAGAGTTGAGTTTAATTATTTTGCTGATGGAGATTGGTTGCTTCTTTTTTCAGTTGCAAACACACTACTTTGGAAAGACAAGAAGCAGACGCTAACCACCGTTCTATTCTTGGTTGCTATTTACTATTACTTCTTTGCATCGGGCTATACTTTAATCACCGCGATAGCAAAGCTGCTTTCTATGTTGGCATTATTTCTGTTCGTCCATGGCTTGCTGCCAACAAAAATGTATGGATCTCCCCTTCTTTTTATCGAACCTATGCTTCAGTGATTTTGAAATCATTTGGTGTTTTTCACTTAAAATTTGTCAAAATGTCTTTTTGCTAATGTAGGCCATTTATCTTCATTTTTGACCAAAAAAACACATTCTTTAAGTTTTTTGTCATCTCTAAACTGGCGTGCCCTCCTTACTACCTTTTCACACAGGTGTAGAATCCGTGAAAGGCTTAGAAAGATGGCTGAGATAATTTGAAGATAGCCAGAGCTAAAAGGTTAAACAAGGAAAACACGTCAAAAATGAGGTGTTGGCATTATTGTTTAGTGCAAGTTGTGAAAGGGGTAGACTAAACCTTGTAGAGGCTGTTGAATGGATTTATCTTTGAACTAGAATTGTATAATGCAGTCCTTAATATGACTCTGATTGAAGCCCAACTGCCAAACATCAATTGATTTGGATTAACAACCGATCAAGTAAAGCTTTGATGTGGATGCAGCAGCATTTGATTCTTGGTGTGGCCTTGGCAAGGAGAAGAGGAAACAGTATAGAAGGTAGGGATTAAGAAGGGAAGCGACCGTATTCAACTATGAGAAAGAAAGGATTTAGGAGAAATGGGATTGCAAGAAGAACTGTTATTGGAGAGGTTCATGAGTAAATACATAAGGAGATAAATATTACATAATATTAATAGTTTTTAAACCATATGAGTAACTGGGATAAAGCTGATGAAGATATTAGTGTTGAAACTATATAATGTCTCCAAGAAATTTTATTCAAGGCTTGAATGTAATGAAAGAAAAATACCAAGTCTGAAGTTTTTAAATTGACTTTTGATATAAATAGCAAAACACCACTGACCTTTTCAGTCTCAATATTTTATTTTTTAAACCATTAATTGTGGAAGATCATTCTAACCTTCCATATATGAGATTCATGGAGTATTTGTGCTATTTCCACTAATTAAGTTGCATTTCCTTTTAGTTTTGTTGTTTCGTTTTTAGTTTGCAAACATCTTTAGTTTCATTAATCATGACCAGAAGAAACCTGTGCTGCAGATTGGCCTACAAAATTGAGAAGATGCCACCTTCTTATTTTCAGCTCTCAGAAGAAAAGGCACATCAGTTTGTATCATCAATAAGCTCATCATGGAATTCTTTAGTTGGCATACTGAGATCGCTTTGCAAGGGAAGAGATTGGTCTTTATTTCTCAAGGTTCTTGGATGTCAAGTTGAATTTATACACCATGGTTGTCTGTCTATATTGTTCCTATAACTTTTCTCAATATTAATCTCAACAGGTTTTCATCATCCTACTACTTGTGAGTTTCCTTGGAGCCATTCCCATGCAAAGCTCATACAAAATAGGTCTTACTCATATCTTTTTAATCTATAGGAAACTTAACCCAATCTTTTATCTTTTTGAACTTTATGAAATATCTGTTTATTTTATGGATATATTGAAACTAAAAGAAAATTCTTTGATATTATCAGGATTTCCAGCATTATTCATAGGGTTCTATATGTATGAGAAATGGGAGGAAGAAATTGATGGTGCTTTTGATAAAGCGCGATTAGAGATTTTGAAGCTGAAATCTAATGCTAAAAAGAAATTTGCGAGGCAGTAGTTGGGAGGTAAGCCTTATTATAATATCTTTTCAGGCTGGAGGCTTTGAATCTTTCTACAATATAGTATATAGGATCTGATATATTTAATCATGTACCAGTGAGCCAGTGATGTCTTGAGAAGCTGGAACCCAGCGGAATTACTCAACAAGTATTTCAAATTGGTATCTCCTACCTCTCATCTATTTGTTGTCTATATGTTCTTGCCATTTGTTATTTCAAATGCTTTTATTTGGATTGGATTTAATTTATTATATTTTATTAGTTGAGTTTATATCATTTGAAATTCATATGGATTTTTGAACTCCAAAAACTTTTTGAATGTAATGATTTTTATAGTTTAAAAATGAGAAAAAAATAAATTTTATTTCTTAAATTGTGTTCTCATCCGCCAACAATCAACTATAATCTAATGGTCATCAACAATGAACATGTGACACATTTGACTATAAGCAATTTTATTTGGTAAAAATTTTTAGAATTGTTGGGTTGCAAAAGTTTTTATTTGACCGAGCATAATATTTGATACAAGGCATGAACTTCTATATAATAAGAGAAGTTTGGTGCTATGATCTAAAGTTTTTGATTATTCTCTTTGAATCACAATAAGATCTTGTTAAGATCATCTTTAGGAGATAGGCTATCGCTGGCATCTTAAGCCATCTGGTTAATCTTCCTTTGCCTTAAGATTATGCCACTTTTACTAGTAGATAGAAATAATATTCTCAAAGGTGCATAGGTGTTCAAAGGGATTAGTAATGCCTTTGTGGTCTTTAGCTAGTAAGTTTTGAGCTTTAGTGGGACAAGTTTATTGAGAGTTAGTGGGACAAATTTATTGATAGTGGGTGGCAACTTGAGGAGAAAATATATACTTGGTCTGGATTCCTTTTCCCCTAGTGGGAAGGTAACCATTTTCATGTTTGATGGAGGCTCTAGAAGCTTAGTTAGTGTACTAGGTGGTTTGTACGATAATATGAAAAAAAAAAAAAAAAAAAAAAAAAAAAAAAAGGATGCAATCAATAATTGAACACGTAGTCTTTTATTAAGGTTCAAAAGCATAAAAAAAATGAATAATATTATTTTTTGGACATTTAGGCCAATGAAGATAAATTCACACGCACATCACAAACGTAATATTCGTGCCTAAGACCTCTTTGTTGGTAGTCAAAGTTCTCAACTAACAGATCAAGATGGGTGTGGCAAAATCATAACTTCTAAACTAAAAAGAAAATATTAATTTAACTTTTTGAACCAACAAACATAGTTAAATAATATAATTATAAAAGTTTTTAAATAATCTAGTTATTATGATTAGGCATATTAAATTATGGCACGACATAATTTTAAGGTACCTAATTGATTCGGTCCTTTATCAGTCTCTAGTTCATCAATTGTAATCATTTTTGTAATTTTAGTTGCTCAAGCACTTTTCAATTGCTCATACTTTTATAAAATGTATCCGAAGGTTTTAAATATGGAACTGGGACTCAGAAATGGGAACAATTATTAGGTTTGGAAACTCTACATCCGGATGTTAATAACATGTCGTCACGTGCTCTTACTTTTTACCGTGCGGCCCGACACCCGACTCGGACCGGAACCCGGTATTACTATGTTCACGTATTACTAGGTATTGCTTGACAATAACGAGAAATATTGTTCTGTCAAGACCAATACCTAACAATACCAAGCAATACCGAGCAATACCTAGCAAAACCGGTGTATTGCTCGGTGGTTTTGCTAGGTATTGGTCTTGACATAATGATATTTCTCGTTATTGTCGAGCAATACCTTGGTCTGCACAAATCAGCCAATACATAGCAATCCTGGGTCCGGTCCGGGTTTCGTTGGGTCGCACGGTAAAGAGTAAGAGCACGTGGCACCATTTTACTAGTGTCCGAATGTAGAGCTACGTCAGGACACCGGACCAAATAAAAATTCAAGTTCCAGAAATGGTGGCTGGGACACACAGGACACAAGCAGGAGACGATAGCAGGAATTGTGGAGCTCAAAAGAAACTCTAATTTGCGTATATATCATAGCCCCCTAGCTTGTGCATACATACCAGTAGCGCTAGCCATCTCCACCTTGCAATCCCCCCACTTTCACTTTGTCAAAATCTCTTGCCATCACTCCTCCGTTCTTCATTGAAACCACTTGACATCTTGCACTCGATGCTTTAATTTTTACTAGTAGCCAGTTCTCCATTATTTGATTTGCTAAAATTCCTTGATTTTAATTCTTAATACAATGCACTCATTATTTCTTCAGGGAATTTGAAGGTAAGGCAAGAAAAAAAGGTTTTAGGAATTTCTGGTTGGGAGGGTGAGGTGAGGATTTTCAGAATTTGACAATGTGGAAGAGGAGGAATTATTACGTGCGGTCGCCGGACGGTTCAAATGCAAATCAGGATGCGCCACGTCATCTTGGTACACAGTAAATGACGACGTGGACCATGTGGTGCGTCCTATTCCGCCTCTAGACAACATTCAGTGATCGCACATAATAATTTCACGTGGATGAGGGAGGAGATGAGAATGAAGGGGATAACATGAAGGTTTTGAGTTAGGGGTTTCGGAATTTGGGTCTGGAAGGATTTAGATAGCTTCTTTATTAATTTATTAATCTTTAAATTATTTTTATTGGTAAATAAATAATATAATTTATATATTTGAATTAGTTTATATGAAATGATATTTGCACATAATTAAACATTACAAATATGTTAATATTAATACAAATTATATGATTGATAACTAATGTTAAAATATGATTGATGTTAACTTATAATTACGATGACATATTTTTCCAATAAAATATATAATAATAAAAGATTTTTTTTTTCAAAATTTAGGACTGTCGAGCACACCCTCAAATAATTATTAGGTCCGGATACCGGACGTAGCTCTACATCCGGAGGTCAATAACATGTCGCCACGTGCTATTACTCTTTACTGCGCGGCCCGACAACCTGACCGGAATCGGAACCTGGTATTACTATGTTTGTGTATTACTAGGTATTGCTCGGTATTGTTAGGTATTGCTAGGTATTGCTTGACAATAATGAGAAATACTGCTCTGTCAAGATCAATACCGAGCAATACCGAATAATACCCCTCGGTATTGTTAGGTATTTGTCTTGATAGAATGATATTTCTCGTTATTGCCGAGCAATATGCAATACCTAGCAATGCCCCGTTATGCACAAATCAGCCAATACATAGCAATACCGGGTCCGATCCGGGTCGGATCGTTGGGCCGCGCGGTAAAGAGTAAGAGCACGTGACACCATTTTACTGACGTCCGAACGTAGAGCTACGTCGTATCATTTTACTGACGTCCGAACGTCGAGCTATGTCAGGACACCAGTCCTAATAAAAATTCCCCTCGGAAGGCCCTATTATACCACCACCTGCAACATTTTTTTCTACTTTTAGACCGTCTTCTCTACTTCAAGCAACTTGATGTCCTTTTTTTTTGGGGAAAATTTTGGGCAAAGCCCGTATATTAACTCAAAATAAAGATACATAACAAAGCAAAATTACAAAATTGGCTATATAAAAAATAAGTCAAGCTACAATAGCTTCAAAAAGGATAAAAGCCTATGAAAATACACGTGTGTATACCCGAAAAAGCTCCAACTGTAGACCAAAAAAGACTCCCATGCCCGGATTACCTGGACTCAGGAATAGATAAAAAGAAGAAAGCAGATCGATCACATCCCTGGTTGCCCAAAGATGCCTTCAGGCCGTCCAAGGGATGAGAGGGGAGTTTCATCATTGTCCAGGAAGGCATATCCGCAATTTCACGAGGCAACAACGAAGCAGCGGCAACTGGATTAGAACAGCCTACATCCTGTCCAAGAAGGTTATAGCATTTTCCCCGGTCATAATCCTCTCAGACAAAGTTCTTTTAATACATAGCTGTAAAGAAGTGTGACATTGCAGCTTGTTCCCAAAAGTCATATTATTCCTCTCTTTCCATATATAATAGATCACCGATGATACCGCCAATTTGTAAAAATTGATCATCTCAGATTTTTCATTATAATGTCCATTCAACCAATCATAAACTTGCAAAATATTAGGTCTGAACAGAAAATTATCCATACCAGGAATGATGCTGGTCAAAATGGAGAAAGAGTAAGAACATTTAAAGTATAAATGAGATACCGTTTCATCATGAATGTGACAAAGGCATCAAGTGCTAGGAACAAACACATTCCTGATACGTAAAGCATCCGCAGTTTTGAGACCCCCCATAATTGCAAGCCAAGCGTATACAGAGAATTTTAGAGCCTTTCTTTTGTGCCAAATCATTTTATACCAGAATACATATCAATCCCGGGTCCGGTCCGGGTCGGATCGTCGGGCCGCGCGGTAAAGAGTAAGAGCACGTTGCACCATTTTAATGGCGTCCGAACGTAGAGCTACGTCCCACCATTTTACTGATGTCCGAACGTAAAGCTACGTCAGGACATCTGTCCTAATAAAAATTCCCCTCTGAAGGCCCTATTATACCACCACCTGGAACATTTTTTTCTACTTTTAGAGCGTCTTCTCTATTTCAAGCAACTTGAGGTCCTTTTTGGTGGATCTCAAACTTATTCATACACACTGGCAGAGTTATGCACATGGGTCCCCCCCTGGCCCATTAAAATTGTATAAAAATAAAACCCAACAACAATATTTTTTAAAAATTGAGCCATAGAGCTTTTTCGGGCTTAAGCTTTTACTTTTTTTTTAATACTTAAATCATAATTAAATTCGACATTAATTCCATAAATTTCTTATCTTAATCTGAAATTTGTCACTATTTATATAATAAGACAAATAGAATATATAATTTATTAATTTATTAATAAATAAATATTAATATTCTTGTAAGATCAAAATATTATTTTACTACGAAATATTAAATAAAAAAATCAAAAGAAATAACCTAAAAATGATTGATAAAAATTATCAATTTATGTTCCCACCACTAATAAATATTTATGGCTCTACCCCATGATCATATAAACTCATCTCTCATATAATTATCCTTTTTGTCTTTTTAAAAAGAGAGTTGTCATTGGCACAAACTCAATTTAGCACTCTATCTTATATTTCAAGGTCATAACTTATTAGGTTTTGTTTATAACAGTTTTCTTGCTGTTTTCAAAAGCAGCTTTCTAGCATAAAGATTTATATTTTAAAATTTTTTGTACGAAAAAGCTATTTTAGAAAACAGTAAGAAAATTGTCCCAAATGAAGCCTTAAGCTTCAACAGTCCTCCTCCAACTCCATTGAC